ACTTATTAAGTGCCCGTACGGTTTAATGTCAGGAAACAATGAAAGGTTACAGCTTCAGAAATCTCACATACTTTACTAGTTTGGGACTGGTGGGGTTTTTTTTTTTTCCTATTTTAGAATTATTTTTACTGCAAGGCCTGAAAGAACAGTAACTATTCCAAAGCACAGGCAGCGACAGATTTTTCCTTCTATAGTGTTGCATTGAAGTAAGTGCATATTTTTGAAAAAGTAGTTCCAACCTGTTCTGTAATTTCTGCCTGCTGAGTCAGCCCTCAGACACACACTCAAGTCTGTTTTGGAAGAAAATTTAGATCTAGTAGACCCACTGGGAATAGTTAAACTTTTAATTTTAAAAGGAAGGCTGCGAGAGGATTTTCTGACAGGCTTGGAAATTCATTTGTTTAGAATTGAGATTTTTTCATGGAATGGTATGTTGTAATTGACGCATTAATTCTACTCCCCTTAAACTGATCATCCTGCTTGTGAAAAAGGAAAAGATTTCTCAGACCAATGCCAACTTACCATCTTCATCCACCGTAAGGTCCACTACTTCCGCTGCATTCTGTCTCAGTGGCTGTATGACTGTGGAAATCCTACTGCGGTTCCGCTGCTCTTGAGGTCGTGCGGCATGAGAACTAGAGCTTTGTCCCCAGTGTGATCTTGTGTGTCCAAGTGCTGAACAAGACCTTAAAAAATGGTAACACCTTAAGTATTGACCTAAATTTCTCCATTATTAAATTTTTCTCCCCTCTGCTTGAGAAGTTATTTCAAGTATTTTTTTTTATTACTAGAAAAGCATTTTGTTATGTGGAAATACCCTACTACTCTGCATTTACTAGATGCGTACATTGCAAACATTACGGCCTTTACCAAGTAACATAATGGCAAATGCCCAACAGGTAGAGTTTACAGGTCTTTAAACCATGTTCCTATGAAATACATACAGGTTACTTATAAAAAATTTCCCGTGAAACCCTACAATTGCAGGCAGGCAGCAATTATATCCAATTTTGTGTCTTAACTTTGTTATCAGTAAATGAAGAGTCTCTAAATCCTATACTATCCCTATGCAGTCTGAAACAGCAGATCCATGAATGATGACAGAAGCATAAATACAATAAAAAATTGCCAACATTAAGTTCTTTTGCATGTTAACTTGTGACAAAATACTTACAGAGGATAATTTCTATACTTTAAATTTCAAAAATGTCCTCAAAGTGCAAAATCTCTGGACTTTCTCTCTTGAATATTATTTCCCCTTCTCTCCTCTAAGAACGAACACAGCTTTGTGTAACACTTAAACTTAAATGAAATGTGGCTTGAGGAGAGGAAATCATAAGCCTGTAACCATGCCTAAGGAAACAGATGGCTTTCTCTCTGGTATAACACTTCGCACCCATTCTATTCAATTCCACCATACCACACTCAAATCAAGGATGCTTTTGAATTTAAGAGGATACTGTCTTTAATTAAGGGAAGAATATTTTTACAGTATTATATTTACCAGTTCACTCTCAAACACCTTTGACAATCCAGTATTTACATAAATCAAGTGGCTCTTATTTTCCCATTTGGAAAAACAATGTACTCAGACTTCAGAAATTCAGAAGAGGAAAAGGTGAAGAAAAGGGAATGACTTCACTAAAAACAAACAAAACCCACTGCACAAATCACCATGGAACTCAGCCTGCATTTCTGTTCTGCCTGCATACTTCCCTCATCCCCATCTGTGTGACTCGCTAACAAAGATATAATATATATATATATAATACAAAGAGAAAGGAGAGGAGAAATTAGCTGTGGAATGGTAGGAGTGTCGGTGTTCACTTCACTTACAGGAACTCCATCTTCATACCAAAACCCAATGCAGTACCTACTACATCCATATTTTTTTGTTTTTCAATGTAATCTGTAAATTCAACCCTAAGAAATTTCTTTGGATTTCTTCTTGCACAAAAGAACAAGCAGACAACATGACAAAGCATCAGACTGGAGACGGAGGCCTAGCATACATCTGTACACTGAGCTAATAACCTTCAAGAGTTTTTGAATCAGGTATGATTTCAAGCAAGAGGTGCAAACAAAGGACTACTGAATTGAAAGAGTCTTAAAGTTAGAGGTCTGGGTCTTTATTTCCTTGTTATGATTACATAGGACATTACTCTGAATGACTAATGAATATGTTAGCTATATGGTGCTGCGTATATTCAGTCTGTGGCAGAGTTTGTCCACCTCTGAAGTATGTATGACCAAATTGTTTAGTCCATTTAAAGCTAATACTACTCTCAACCAGATCTTCATAGTTTTTGCTTAATCAGAAAAGGAACATTAGTGAAGGCTTCATTAGCATTTTGGTAGATACTGGCTCTCTCATCCTTCTAGCTATGAGTCGAGATGCTACACTGCTGCTTGAGACTGCAGTTGATTTTACATCAAAGATGTACTTACTCCGTGCTCTGAAAGTGGCCCTGTATCGATGGAGAAGGGAGGAGGAGGGAATAGTCATCAGTACATAACAATGTCTTGATGAAATATGGCCCACTGGGCAAAATGAAGGACATGGAGGAAGAGACTTGGATTCCTGTAATTTTCTCAAGCCCGAGACTGTGTGCAACATAAGAAAAAGGGACAAATTTCTATATGCATGTGACCAACTGCATCTCACCGGTGACCACTCAGAAAACAAGCAGAGGAGCATGAGCATCTTATGATTTCATAAGGCAAATGAAAATCAGACAAATAATTAACCAGTTCTGGTAAAAAAAGAACCAACAAAGAGGTGTAGTCAAAGTTTCTGGGTAATTTTTTTGTTTAAATTATGAGCAAGACTTTTGCATCTGCAATTCTTAGTTGTGGGATAAATTCAAAGAAACTGCAGCTTAACCATTCCTACTGCAAGTGTTTTTCCAGAGAAAAAACATTTTCACTGTGTTTGGTAGGTATCAAAATAGTTTCTACAGGAGTGAATGAAAGTAAGGAAGTGTTTTCCATGAGCACTCTCCTCCTTACTTCTCCAAGAGCAAAATGAGTGGCTATCCGCTGGACAATTTTACATTGATGCTACATGACACGTGGTTTGGGATCAAGCGGTATGTATTCATTGCTGAGCAATGGTGTCCCATTACCGCATTTTCCAGACTCCATGCCAGTTTTATCAGATCTCCTTTATCAGCTAGCAATCATCAGAGTAGGATTTCACCAACAGTGCAGAGGATGACGACAAGAAGAGGGGAAAAAAAATAATTCTTAAAGCCTATGCAATATTACACTTAAGCCAAGAGACAGTGAGGCTTAAAAGTGGCCACAAAATTGTACTATTTGCAAGGTAAGACCTGTAGAGTTACCCAGAGTCTGGCTGAAGGCACTGCAGAAAGAAACTCTCTTGCACAGCCCTAGCTCTCTAAAGCTTTTTTTCTGTCTTCTCCCCATTCAGCATTACTACCTTTTTCCTTGAGAGGATTTTCCTTCTTAGAATGTTCCATTTCTATGTTCGTTATCCGTCCCCATCTTCTCTTGCCCACAATGCATCAATAGCAGTGAAAGATGATCTCATGTCTGCTAACATGCTCCCGGTTCTACACCACAACAGATGCTTTGCCTCAACATTTTCAACACAAAACTTTTTTGTCCCTAGCTTTTCCAAGTCTAAACACAAATTTTGAGTTTCTAAGGGATCGAGGTGTGTTGTCTGGAGAAAGCTGTCTTCCTTCTTTCTTCCAGTAATTTTCTTCTCTCCCACAAAAAAACTGATATGACTGAAAGGAGGATTCAGGAAGAGACAGATTAAACACTTCATGAATTTCCTTCTTCTGATCTTCAGTACTAAAATGCCCAGTAAACTTGTATGCATATTCAACCATCAACTGACCTTCAGGCATTAGCAAATTAAATTTGTATAAAAAACCCCTCTGTATTCAAGTGCATTAATTCCTTCCAAAGTAAGTTTCGCCTGTAAATTTTAAATAAATTAAAATATTGCTATTATCTAAACATGGCCACTTGTTTAAATTTTTTTTTTTAATAATACTTTTTATCTTCCACTTAGGAAAGTAGAAAAACCAGCTTTACCATGCTTAAATATCCCAACCATAGATTCCTACCACAGCTTACATTTGGAGCCTACTAGTAGATTCATCTTTTATTTACTAAGGTCAAGATTAACACACTTCAGAATTTTAAGTTTTTTGAAATTGTCAGGTGTAAAGTCGCAACTTTCCCATAGAATGCTTTGCATAAAGACAAGTGACAGCCTCCAGAATTTAAGCAAACTTTTTCAAATTTACAATATTTTTCAATACTATTCAATTGCATTTTTGTAAGTCTATATATTACTATGGGATATCCACTGCTACTCAACTAATAACTGAGTTTTGACCAATGTGAGTGTTAGTTCTAGAGTATTCAATGTATGTAACAAGCATTAAAAAGCTTAGCTTCAGATTTCACAGAAAAAAAGCTAGCTACTATGAAGTATCAAAAGAGGCATCTTCATTTTTGCATTTCTGATTTGACTTCCTTTTTTTTCCCACTTCATCCAAAAATACCTTTTGCCTTTTAAAAAAAACCCAGTAACCTCTCTTGTCTATATATACAAGTTATAACGAGCAAAAAGTAACCATTTATTTTGCTCTCAACAGTATTCTGAGTTTGGTAAATAACCTTTATAATGTTCAGTTTGCTTACAGCATTTATATTTATAGTTTTAAACTGAACTATCATTGAGATGTCCAAGAGCTGCCTTTGCTCCTTTCATTGTAGTTGGCAAAAGTAACCTGCTTGAAACACAGGAAAACCTGCATAAGAAGAACTTTATGTTCAAAGTATAAAAGACTAGTTTAGAAGTTCCTGACATTTCAAGCTCAAGATTTGAATTTAAGACTCTTTCTCCTCATAGCAAACTTCCTGGAATTGTTTTCTTGCTGTATTTTTTTTAAAACATAGAATCATCACTTTTTCCAACACAAAACTCAGTTATTTCTTTAATCTTCTCAAAGTTTTCAGCTGAACAGTTTCAGAGTGATGTCTCTTCAACAGTTGAAAGCAAGTACAGTAAATAAAGAGCAAAACTTAATCATCATGTGATGATACAAAAAATAATCAATAATCAAATGCTTTTGACAAACCTGCATGTTAAATTCACCAGAAAGTGCCCTTGGTTCAATTTCCTTCTCACTCAAGTCACCACTAAAGACAACACTGACATTAATAAAAGCGTGGGGGGGAGATGTCGCTGTTGCCATTTTGGCTGCAGTGTTGCAGAAGGTAAGGGGAAGAAAGTAGTAATTTTTTTCAAGGCTTTTATGGCTACTACACAAAACATTTCTTACTGATGCTAGGAAGAGAGAAAGCTGTTTATTCTTTGAAAAGTATCTTATCTGTCTTTAATCAGGCTTGAATTAATGTTCTATAAGCACAATCATTTTCATCTAGCCTAATTTTTTACCCTTTAATGCTTTACGTGCAAGTTATAACAGGCTAAAGCATTAACTTGATCTAGCTGAAGTCTTTTCAAGCATATATGTTGTTTTTTAAGTTTTAATGACTATTCTCAACAAACACATTCATATGGATAAATGAACTGCTTCTAGAAACAAGTTTCTTTCTCATCACCTCAAAACAGAGTGTCTGTTGTTTCTGCAGCTTTTGGTTTCTTTTAAACAGAAGGAAATATGAAGAAAAATATTGTTGAAGAAATTAATTTTTAAAATGTTGGTTTCTCTCATGTCTCCCAACTTTCTCTTTGCTATAGATTCGGGCTGCATTTGTGAGTATGACATCCTTGGTTCCACGTGTTCATGAAATCTACATTATGCATGCAGTTGTCTTAAACATAAAATTGGTTTTTTCGATGTGATATTTATTCCAATAAAAGTGATTTTTAGAGGAAAATTTGTCTGTTATTTTAAATTTGGAACTGAATTAGTGGAAGCATTAACTATCTGATGACAGATGGAATGTTTTCATGATTTACTGCCTATTGTTCCTGTGTCATTATTTTATAAAAAATGGATAGTCATTCTTCATATTCTACAATTTTTTCTTCATGTTCACAAACATGGTAACATACGTAATAGGCAGCCAACTCCAACAGTGCCACACACATGACAATTTCAAGTTTTCTTCTTCAAGGAACTCCACTTTAATACATTCTGCAAAATCTGACCAATATGGAACAAAATTTCCAGAGAGGCATGGAAGAACAGGAAAGTATACACAGCAGCAGCTTCAAAAAAGAAGGATGCTTTCCTGAGAAATCCTCAGCTAATCCCTAGATCGTCAATGCAGCCTAAACCTGCTCTCTCTAAGATCAAACTGTACAGCTTTGCTTCCTCAAAATTCTGGTCAGCAGCTGCACTAACTACAACCACCTCAACCATTCCAGATTAGCTGAATTGTCAAGCTTTGGCAAAGCTGTAGTTTGGGGGTTTGGTTTTTGGGGGAAGGAGTTGTTGGGGTTTTTTGGTTTGGTTGTTTATAATGAAAAATGCCTACTATGCATCCTGGTTCAAGTTCTGTGACATTACCTTATAGGCTTCTAATGATATAGAGCCTTGTGACAACCTTGGAGTGAAGCAAAATTGTATTAATACAAAGAGATGCAAGTCCCACCTGCAGCTTTCACCAACTGTGACAATCTCCACTTCACTATCTGTTGAGGTGACATTTATTTCTTCATTATGAGTGACATGGGGAGTGGAGGATCCTTCAATCACCACAACATCTTCATCAATACTTCCTGATGAGGAAAAAGGAAGAAGAAAGTTTGTATACTTCATCTATCTCAGCAGCTGTCATCATAAAGAGACTATTTTTTTCCTAGACTTAAAAACAGATGTAGGTAGAGAATTTCACGGTATATGTCAAAAGTTTAGGTGCAGCTGTCAAATACATGATCTAATTACTTCAAGTAACAATTCTGCTGTAAATGTTGAGGTAAATGAAGGAGGGAGACAGACGATGGTGCGGGGCCGGAGTGGGGGGAGATAGGCAAGCTTACATTCTAGTGTGTATTGGAAGCAATTATGGCAAATTTTATTAGCTGTAACACCACCGAAATCCAGTCATTTAATATAAAACTGAAACAAACTTTCAAACTAGCAAAGCAGTGGTTTTTTACCATCAATAGCTTTATTTTTTGTTAGGTTTTCATAGGTATTAAAGCATCATGGCTAAACGGTGGCAACAGGAGAAAAATCATGCACCAATATATGTTATTTATTTCTACAACAAAATGACGATCACAAATCCACTGGTGTTTATAAACCTCTTTCCATCTACACCATCAGTGGCATTCACAATCGTACACTAGTCAGAGGAAGTTAAAATGAAACTATCAATGGTAGAAAACAACCACCAAAACCCCACAAAATCAGTTTAGAGACAAGTTTTGACAGGAAACAATTTCCACTTCAGGAATTATTAAAGTTCCAGTCCAACACCCAGACACATAGAAACATTTCTCTGCAGCTGTAATACTGACAGTAAGAAGTTTGAGCTCTCTAGAACACTTAAACTGAGCCATAGATCACTCACTATAGTAAGACCACTGAGCACAAAAGAATGAACTTACATAAATGAGCTAGAAAGCTTAGAAATAGCAAACTACCATTTTGAGATCTGCAAATTTCTTCAAGAAAATTGCTTAGAGAATTTGGTCTCAATCAAGTCAACACTTACATCCTGTATGAACTGAACTGTTCTCAGCTGTTCTACCCAATGACAAGCTAGGACAGATTATTCCCCCCAACAAGTATCAACATTTTTATATTTTGAAAAGAACAAGTTGCATTACTTCTTTTCCAATGCCCTTTGTTTCTGGTCATACTTATCCCAGAGAGACCGGCACCTGAAGACAGAAAGAGAGATGCTTCCAAATACTGGTATTCACCCAATTCTCACGACTGGAAGTAATACATGACAACATTCATTCTCAGAACTTGCATAAAAATTTTGGGAAAAACTGAAAACGTTACAGTATCTAAGAAACAAAGTCACATGCTAAAACTGAAAATACAGAGAGGCCAATCACTCAAAGTGAAAGAAAGGCAGCCAAAGTCATCATCACATTCAGAAAAATGTAAATGTCATGCTTCTGATATCTTACAAATCACAGGCAAATAAGCAACAGCTTCCTTACACAAAACTACCTTAGCTGCTTCTCAGACAAAACCAGCCAGCCAAGCAGCTGGTAAAAGGTCAGTTAGAAAAAAACCCAATTGTTTTTCCCCCATCTCTGTGCTTGTAAACGTAATTCAGAGAAGTGCGTGTTAAGTTTGAAGCACTCCTGGGAGTCCACATGTCCTCAGGTTGACTATTTATTTAAATTTATGACAGGCGCAAAAGCAGGACTATTTAGGCTTAAGTGTGACCTCACTACTTCTGAAAATAAACAGCACCTCCCTGAGGACAAAATCATACACAACGTAATTCCAGCAGGCATCGCTACTTCAATTCTGACACAAGCTTATCTCATGAGAACCAAAGGGAATTCTCACCCAAATATCTACACAATCCAGATACTTACCTTTGTCATGGTTTGAGAGTTCATTTTACTTAATCCTTTTTTTAAGCAAATCTTTAGTCAAGATGTGATTTTACAGACTGGAAAACATCAGGATGAACAGGTTTTATGACTTCCAAAACAATAAAGATTTTTAGGTAAATAGTCAAAGTTGCTATAAGTAGGATATAGCATGGATAGAGTTCAAGTGTATGCTATTTCCTACTGCTCATGCTTTCTAATAGCACCCTCCCAAGTCAAAAGCACAAACTGATTGGGTTTTCATCCCATGAAGCACTTTCCTATACAAGGAGGGAGCCAATAATACACATTTTCTTCAGAATGAAGGCATAAAAACAACTCCTCTAAACTATGTAAATATTTGTAAGGCATTTAGTAAGACTATATTACTAGGAAAAAACTATGAATATAAGTTATGATCACATACAACTGCATAGCCGCTTTTAAAAGAAGAGCTTTCAAGTGAGTTCTATCAGAAGCACAGCAAGGGGAAAAGTACATCTGTGAACTTCACTTATTTTAAGAAAATTGCAGTAGTTTGGAGAACAGTATATACAAGTTAGACCATTGGCCAATACAAACGGATTTCATTAGATTTATCTGAACAATGAAAAGTCAGCTGGACAGCAAAGCTTCAGTAACATAAGCAACACTGAAGTAATGGTCATAATCCTCATCCAGTAGCTCTTCCATAGTCAGACACTAGCCACAGGGCTAGTAGTCCTAAGACATTACTACAAGGAAGAGAACACGGCTTTTGAAGCATCACAAATAAAACCATACCAGTTTATTCTGATTTAGACAAGCTCCTGCAAAGCAGAGCAAAGGATAGTGTTAAAATAAGAAAAAGCCTCTGAAATAATCCGTCACAATGAGGTCTCGGAGGGCAATCTCCTTGACAGGCCAACAGGAATACAGGGTGCCTGTAGCACCTGAGCAGCAGCCCAGCTATCAAGAAGAGCCCTCTGAAACTTCACCAAGCCCAAGAACAAGGCATTTAAACTGGTACTAGAGCATTTCACCTACAAGGCAATTAAGAATTAAAACTGTGCCGGAACTAAAGAACTACTGAAATTTAAGATATCTTTGTGAATGTTCTGTAGTACCAAATCTGGGGAAAATTCACTTAAATCTGCCAAATGCACTTAAAATTCAAGCCTGCTGGTTTGAACTACTCCAAGCCCAACCCTAGCAAAGCCATGATGTTTTGCAGCTAACTTGAATTTTAAGAGTGCACAACCCTGTAAAGCAGAAGGAAACTTTCTTTAGCGAGATGACTGACATGCAGAAATAAAACAAATGGATTGTCAGAGGATTCTAAAAAGATTTTCTCAAGGCAATTTTGAGGCACTCATACCCCTCAAATATTTACCACATATGTAACTCTTAGCAGCCATCCAGTGAATCCAAGGCTACATGTTAGCAGTAAAAAGCTGAATGTATCTTTAAGGTGTCTACATCTTTGGATCTACATGGTAATATACTTGGTATATACACACACTTGTCAATTTCTTAAGTAGGGCATAAAACCAACAGAATTTGATATTTCAATAAATCCCAGTTCTAATGTACTGCTAAATTTACAAAATACACTAACAGCCAAGGAAAACACCACAACAAAACAACACAACAAATTCAAATCCAGAAATACACCAGACAACAAAATACTCGCACATCTTTCTTGGTACTACTTTTCACACCGTGGTCCAGCACACAGAATGTTTTATATGGTCCACCACGACAAGCTATACTTCATTTATTTGCTTTTATGCACATACCAGTCATTGACCAGTCATCTTCTGTCTGGAATGAACTTCAAGCAAATTTGATCTTACTTGAAGTATAAATATGAATACCTTACTTATCAATGTATAATCCAAACGACTGACCCCGAAAGAGAACAGCTAAACCTGCATGAGAGTGTTACTCTACTAACCCTATGCTTCTCGAAGGTAATCTCCCTGCAAGGAGAAGAGTCACTGGACTGTTGGCAGCAAAATAGTTATGCAGATATATGAGAGGTATTTTGTACTACTTTCAGCATAATACCTGTGGCTATAAAACAAACAGAAAATCATCCTCCTGCAGGTATACACTACTCTCTATTATCTCCTGAATAACAAAACACAGCAAGCAAATTATACTCTAGTTGTTTGTGACTAAATTAGCCTCTCAGCTACCAGTGAAAGGCTCATTCCACATTTAAAATGATCTGGTTAAGAACAAAACTTCTACAGAAAATTACAGCAATAATTTTGTTAGTTTCCACCAAATTTTGGTTGTCTTTTTTTTTTCCTTTACATCCACAAATAATACCTTATAGTGCATGCAAAACACCAAATTTTAGTTTGCAAGTTTCTCATATCCCAGAAATTCAGACCCATCAACAGCAGTCAGTAATTATGTTTTGTACATGACTAAGAACATGATTAACAACCAGTAATAATCAGCAACTTCTTTACAGAAGTTTCTCTGCTCTCTTTTAAAAGCCTGGTTTATGACAGAAACCTAGTGCTCAGCCAACCTCGGAAAGGACAAACTACACTGGCTGGAATCCAGATTTGAACATGCACAAAATGATAATCACCCCTTATAAAACAAAACACTCCCTCCTCCAGGCCCTGCATCACAAAGACAGTGTATCTGACAGACTAAAGTACTTTATTAAGCAAAATAATAACAACTTGTAAAAGAATATAATACCATGCAGTCCAATATTTAGATCAGGTAAAGGAGGATATTTTTTTCCCCAGAAAGCTGTAAGATTCTGTAACTGCTACGTGCTGTTGATACACCACATGCAGCTCTGGAAAGCAAGTTTTAGAATCAAATACTTTAACAATCCAGAAGTTATAGGCAAGAGACTAATCTTTGCACAGTATAACATGTGTAATATATACAGTTATATTCTGTGTACAATATATATAGTTATACTATCACTGAACCCTGAAGGATCATGGCGTAACTCAGAGATTAATCAATCATCACCACAAGCGCCCCAGCAAGGACACAACTCACACTGATAGAATATCCAAATCTATGTTTGGCCGATTGTTGTCCCTCCTGAAGGGTATTTTACATCTATTTTGCAACTAACATGAGGTTTAACTGATTTAAATATTACATGTGAGATAGTGAAGGGATTTTACTACACACAGTTTCAAATGAGTCTGACCAAGCCACAAATGAAAACAGAAGAGATTTCAAATAAGCAG